AAACCTGTCGTTGAGTTCGTTTAAACAATGATCAACAAATGGCAGGTAAGTATTTATTCTGTAGTATTCCTCAGCAGTGCCAGCAAGAACAGCATTTGCTCTGTGTTGCATGTGACCTGCTGTTCTTGGTTTCTGTAACTCGATACCAATACTGTCGGCAATTGCTGTTGCCTTTGACCATATACATCTCTGAAAAACTTCCTCACAACGCTGATCATTAATAACCTGCTTGCAATTCTGTACGTCAACAAAAGCCTTGTATACATCACATTTTGAACTCTGGAGAGCCAAAGTTAGGGGCTTCATATAACTCAGTACATGTTGTGCAACAACAATTGCAACAATAAATGAACTCCTCTCCATCATATTTATAAATGCAGTGCTTTCATTTCTGACATCTTCGAGCGTCGATAGTATGGCTGCATACTTTCCAATGACTACTGACAGAGTATCAACTCTAGCAGACCATCTAGTTTCGCAAAGCTTTGGCAAGATGTTCACAGAAAACGATTTTTCTATGTTTTTATTGCTTTCTGTTACATTATTTTCGATGTTTGCAATTAAATATTCAACTTGTTTTGCATTGGCAAATATCGTTTCATGATTGATACTCTCTTTGGGCTGGCCGCAAGAAACCACGTGAGCTGGTTTACATCATCAAAGAGGTTTCTTACCATTGGTATATTCTTGCAAGAAGAAGATATGACTAAATTCAACGCATGCGCTCTACAGTGGTGATATTCGGCAAGTGGTTGGATTTGCCTTATACGCGAACAGACCCCCGATTTCGACCCAGACATAACACTTGCCCCATCATAACCCTGCCCCCTGAGGAATTGTGTATTTAAATTACAGTCATCAAGCTTTTGCAAAATTGCATTACTTATGGATGCTGCATCGACTGAATCTAGAGGAGCATATCCAATGAAGTCTTCGTTTACTTCATTGTTTTCATCCACGTATCTGATACATATAGCCATTTGTTCTATATTCGCTACGTCTGCACATTCATCGGCCATAACAGAAAACCATTTGGCAGTTCTGGCACGGGACAATATTGAACTTAGTACCTCTTCTCCAGCTAACTCAATAAGTTCATTTTGTATGTCAGGACTAAGGTATTTCGCATTGTAAGCTGCATTTTCAAGGTGTGATTTAAGAACAGGTTTTTCTTCAGCCAACCAATGAACAAAGAAATCGAAATTGCCATCCTCTCGTTTTGTGATAGTGTCCCAGCGATGGCCTCTAAATGGAATATTTCGTTGACCGAGGGCAACAACTACCCTTATGATGTTTGACAATATTTCTCTGTTTTTAAGAATGGTATCTTCATAACTTCGGGATATACTACTTTTGATGCTTTTTTCTTCTCCCGAATAAACTTTCATAAAGCTCACTGCCTTAACAAGGGCGTTTTGGTGGGCGCTTGATTCCTCATGAATCTGAAGAGTGCCTCTTTTGGAACCCATGGCATTTTTCCAATCTCTAAGACCAGATGTAACAAGTTTGTCCGATTGATTTTGCTGACCAAATGCAATGCATGGCGCACAAAATGCAGCATCTTTCGATAGCGAATATCTTAACCAAATAAATTTATCTTCCCAACTTAAATTATATCGTCTGCCATTGGTCAAAGGAAAGGAATATTTTTCATGTGGAGGAGGACTCCACTTGCTTGAAAGTATCTTTGATTTTTCAACATCATTTAAAACTTTCTGTGTAAAATTTACAGGATCCATCGGCTCTGTTTTGGGTTTTTTTCCCTCGCTACATTGCTCAGGCTTTGAAACTTCTAATGCTGGCGTAATGCATTGATCTGTTTTTGAAAAAATAGGGAATTACTAGTCGTAGGAGAATGTGTTTATTTGTAGTGCCTTAATTTGCCTTCAATGGGTTAATTAATTTTGAAATTGAAAATCAATGTATCAGGATAAAGAAATATTCACTAGCTGGTAGTTTATAATAGTGTATTCTAGGCTTACCTGACGCCGATTCTAAACCGTCATTTTGCCTTTTCCGCAGAAAAGATGTTAACTTCGTTTGACCCCTTTTCTTTTCGTCCATATTTTCAAATTTTCCCACAAAAACTACTTTGAGGATTTAGTGAAACTAGAGCCCGATCTTATGAATTTCGATCCCGAACATATTGATATGAAAGAACAACAATATTTATATTTTGTTCAAAATGTTAGATAATATGCATTCTTTCTATAACAAATAATTTTTTTTATGAAATGTAAAAAAAAAAAAATGGTGCTGAAAAATCTAGTGAGGCAGTTGCCTCATTGCCACAATGGAAGCTACGCCCCTGGAGTGTAACAAATACTATTTATATTTATTTTTGTTAATATGTGTACTTCTGATTCATCTGGCTCAATTTTTCTCCTATCCAGTACATGTATCTTTAAAATCAAATGCAATAATAAATAGCTTAAGCATTTTAAAGATTCGTCAAAAAATATTTAATTCAAACACAGATGCAACAAATATTAGAGTAACTTATCAATTTATGAATGTCTAAATGCTGACAAATGGGAATGTGCAAATTTGCTGATGTGGATCTTTGTCATGTTAAAATACTGGTGATCTATCAAAATATGTGTGAATGCAAAAAAATGATAAAATGTGTCTTTGCAAAAGTAATTCATTGTATTTAAAAAACCTCTACAAAAAAACTATGCTATTAGTGATAAGTATACAAATGTAAATATGAAAAATTAAACCTTGTTCCCGTACAAACAAACATAGAGAGCATTTTATTATTTAAATCATGGACTTGTACATGTATGTTGATATTATATTCAATTTATTTTCCTCTTGACTAAAATAATTTTTATACGTGCACCTAGTACGATAAAATATTAATTTCCTTGTGAAAAAATCTGTTTCCTAAAACATTTTGCTAAAAAGTGATTATTTAAATTTATTTCCATTTGCCTGTATTAAATGATGTTTATTTAATAGTTTATATTATGCTTTAAGTACCTCAAAAGTTTTCATTCCTTTATCAACGTGCATTACTGTCTTAAAAGAAGAACTGTATAAAAACATGGAAAACAAAAGACTCTCTCTGTGCTTTGATAATTCCGTTTCGGAAATAAATGATAGAAAAATATTTTTCAATACACAGTCTATAAAACTGTTGCACTACTAGCCCTTTAAAACCTTTCCTCTTAAGATATATTTTATTTATATAATATATGAAGATCTCGTGCATTGTAAACAAAGTGTTCATAAGCATGTTTACAATTGCCAGCTGTCAAATGTTGATTCAAATGTGATCAACCAAAGCTGATCACAACAAAATTCTCTAAATTTTCTCACATTCCAGAGCAAAAAGCATTGTTAAAACGCGCTTAAAAAGAATTTCAAAATGCGTTAAATTTGGGACGAAATCAACGCACTTTGAACAAAATAAAATTTCTTTTAAAAGTGCATTAAAATCGACCAAATTAACCGCACTTTGACAAATGAGTATGACTTGTTCAATTATCTTGCAGATCTTAGGTATGATAAATAATGGAACCTGTTTGATAACTCTTCGGTGATGAGGTCGCTTCAGAATGAGAAATTGAGCGATTTGGATTTTTCCATGATTTGAAAATTCTTTCTCTCTTAAATGTTTTAGTAGTACTATACATATTTTTTTTCCAGTCTGAATTCATTTGATGTTAACTAAAATTTATGAAAGTTTCCAACGTCATGCAAGTTATGCAAATACATATATTTGTTTGGAGCATAGGCATCGGTACCTACGGTACCTACATATATACATAATATAGGCATTAAAAATTGGGGAGGGCACTTTCAATCTGCTAACACAACCTTCCAAACACGGAGCGAGCTTTTTCCCTCTTGAAAAAGTGAAATGTAAGACAATCGTTTTCGTCGCGGGGACTATTTATGGCAGACACGTGTTGACCAGTCGTGGTGTACTTTTTTGACTCGTATACTTTGTTTCTTTATGCAACAAATAGTTTACATTTATTCAGCAGTTTTAATTAATTTTTTTTCCTTTGTATTATCCATACCTTGCCATTAAATCCATTTGCGAACACTTTCAATCAATGTGTCAGATAGTGACTTCTATTTGATGATATAATAGAAATTTCTAAATAGTTTTTAATCAAAATAATTTTATTATTTACCTCCACGACCAATTTTAAGTAAAGAACTTTTAAATAGTACATTAATTATTCTATTTTGCACATACCATTGCGTAACTTTTAGTGATGCTCAATCACTTTAGACCCTTAATTGGCAGGTACCGTATTTAAATTAACTTTGCTATTTCTTGTGTATGAATCATATAAGGATAATAACTAACAACATTGAAGATCAAAAGTCGATAATACAATACAAAACAGGAGCCGACCAATTGCCAACACGGACCTCCAAATCATCATAGGTCAAATCAGGGGGGCATTGACAAGTGAGCATCCCCTGTCGACCGGTCACACCTGCCGTAAGCTCTTTGTCCTGACCAAGAAATCGCGGAAAAATCCGTCGTCAATTCAGTGTATAAATAATAGACTAACAATTGGTATGAAAAATGTCCGTAAGCATTTGATTCTATGATACATTGTATTTGCTGACAGAGTCATTGTATCGACCATAGAACTTACGAAATGATGACTTTAAACGAGACTGCTGAAGTTCAACTGTCTTTTCCATTTATTAAATGATCAACTTTTTTTCCACTCATTTTAATACTTATGTTCGAATTTGCACTATCACAATGACTGTATTTTAAAGATAACATATAATTATGTACAACCATAATGCTTTTCGCTTTCTAAATGAGTTATTTATCCCTATCTAAATAAAAGCATTTAGTCGAATAATCAATAAAAAAGTATTTCCCAAACGTTTTGTTTATAGTGTGGAACATACACACCAATATGACCGTTCAAGAGCAAATAATTGTAAAACATATGGGAAACAAGTTTTAGAATTAATTTTCCACATGTTCGTCCTATATTTGTATATCACAATATTGACAGATGTATACAGGAAGTTAAAAGAAATACAATATATTCAGTGCGAAAACATTTTTTGGCAAAGTTGCGCCCCTTGGCGAATCATTTGTTTATCAATCACTATTGATCAGTATCAAGTAAGTTTAAAAGTTACTTAAATAATATTGATTTATTCTGCAACTGACAATGTACACTTTACCTGTATGTCATGTTCTTACAAAATACAACATTGTTTTCAATTTACATATTCATCATGTTCCTATGACTTGATTTAAGAATTTCTTCAATCATCAAGTTTGTAAAAACATATAAATGTATGTTCATATTTTATAAGGATTGTTGTCCGCTTTACTCTACACTGATGATTCTAATTAAAACATGGGGGTTGCCGGTATGGCCAATCGAAATTTAAAAATTTTGTTTATTTTTTATTGATACCTATACACTGTAATTATAAACAAACATTATACCATAATTCAGAGTCAGTTATTTTGCTGAACATTATGATCTGCAGAATATTGATGTTTTTTCCTTCTAGACTATAATAATATCTAGTATATGTGCATGTATACGATATTAATTTAATTTCCTTGTTTAAAATTCAGTTTCCTCATTTTTTTTCGTTGAAAAACCGATAAAAAACAAAATATTTAGATTGATTGTGTTTATTTGTACTTTATGTGGGTAATTCAATACAAATAATTTTTCAAAATCACGTTTACTTAGAAGTTTGATAGTAATTTCTTTATTAATGTTCATTACATGTATTATTTTTAAAGTAGAAAAATATAGGTATTTTTGAACCTTAGCATTCTTTCGAAATTTCATACATACTTGATAAGATTTCAATCGGTTAACCTTGTACCCAAAAAGCGTTTTCCTTCCTGTAAAGAGCTTAAAAAGATTTCCTGTTCTTGGAAACCAGAAAACTTCCATCTCATTAAAAATAGTTCAAGTCAGATATGGACTTCAATAGTGATATATGAACACACTATTATTCTAACACGGAAGTATTTTTCTTAATAAAAAAAAAATTACACTCTGTTGATATCAAGATTTTATTTCATAAAGTCATAAACATATTTTCTGCATATTTGTGACTTTTTAGTATATACATATGTGTATATATTTAAACATCAACCAAATGTATGTGCGGTATATTTTCTGTCCTTTAAAAATGGAGATGGTCGACTACGCCTAAAAGAGGAAAAAAATGGAATCTGTTTTTTTTTAATACATCGTAATTTCCTTCTATTGCTGTAAATCATAATGCACAAAAACTACCTAAATATTGAATGGAGTTGACGAAAGTATTCATTATGACAGCTTCAAAGTTATTACATATTGCCCAATGCAGAACGTCTTTTCTTTTTCTTAAATCATGAATCCCGTGGGGATCCGGGTTAGAATAGGTCCCCAGTACCCCCTTGCTTGTCGTAAAAGGCGACTAAATGGGGCGGTCCTTCGGATGAGACCGTATAACCGAGGCCCCGTGTCACAGCAGGTGAGGCACGATAAAGATCCCTCCCTGCTCAATAGCCCTAAGCGCCGATCATAGGCCCAAATTTGCAGCCCTTCACCGGCAATGGTGCCGGTGAAGGGCTGCAAATTGGTTGCTAAACAGTATACAACCAGTTAATCAATCTTAAATCATAAATCCTGTACTACAGGTACATCATGCAAAAAGCTTGATGTATCATTCGTTTATGATAAATATTAAGTATGCCAAATATTTTTTTAATCGCATTTTAAGATAGATGTTAAGGGTACAATCCTCTGCAGGTTGATCCCAACTTCCATAGGTCGAACTCAATGTATTGCTACTTCAATTTAAATATATGACAAATTGAAAAACTTCTTTCGTACAAATAGTCTACGCACTATAGACATGTAAAGATGAGCTTCACATTGTGTGAAAAGTAACTCATAGCAAAAATCCTTTCGAAAAAAGATCTTTTAAAATATTTCGGAACTGTGAGTTGAACAGAATAAATGAATATCAAACGAAGCAAGTATTGTACTTTTCATGTTGATTAAAATTATCAACATATTGATTAGGCTAGTTTCTAATATATCAAGAAACTATTATATTTTAGACAAACATTTTGTATTGATGGTCTTGTTTAACTATTGGTTATTCGTAATCACCAACAAATTTTACTGTAGTTGTCTGATAAAAGAGTATTTTGAATATATTGTCGAGGATTTTTATTTCAAATTTAAAAATAACTAGTCCATGAGCCACTGTGGGTGGTCGGTACCATTTTGGGTGAATAAACTTTATAGTGATATTTGGTAAGGTATACTCCTTGCTAGTGAGAAAATGCATGATAGCATCAAATCTGTTGTGGCTTCAACGCTGGAGACACAGTTATTGCCTTTTATTTGATGAAATTAGTTTTTTGAGCTAAATATATTTTCGACCTGCAAAGTGTTTGTCACACAGTTGCCAACCGTGATAGAAACTTCTATTAAAATCACTCCGAGATATAAAGAACATATTAAAAGAGCATTAACTGAGTTACTAGCCTTGATTCTAGCAAAAATTGCATTTTACCAATTTTACTCAACAATTACATATACCTAAAAAAATTGTAAAAAGAAAAAGATAAGTACCAATGCACATATACTAGTTATTCGTCCGTCGGTGACGACGATGACCACTGTCTCATCTTCGTAGGGGAGGGGGCTGACCTGGGCGGTTGGTGCGGAGGTGACTGGTCAGGCCGATCCTTGCACAAGCAGATGATGGAGTTTTTCAACTAGAGCCACACCCCCTTCTTTGTTAATCTCAGCTGGGATGGAGTATCCGCCAGGTGCTTTGCCAGATGACAACAGACTAACTGCTTTCTGGATCTTATTCAACATGGGAACGGCGTCCAGTGACTGATTAATGGGAACCTGGGTAGTCGATTGATGGCTTCGTCGTTGATGGTAGAAAGGCGGTTCAAAAGACCATTGAAATGTTTCGCCCACCTGTTGAGTATCTTTTCCTTCTCTGTGATGAGTGTTAACCCGTCATCACTGAGGAGAGGGGGTGAGTCTGATGGAGATGGCCCGTAGAATTCCCTCAGTCCATAGTAAAAGTTATTACTGTTATGAAATTCTGCGTAGCGTTGGATTTCGTCAGCTTTGGCATTCAGCCAAGAGTCCTGCATATTCCGAAGCTTTTGTTGTACTATGCTGCGAGCGTTCCTCAGAGCGTCTTCTTGGCTGTTGAGGTGGGATCATCTATATGAGCCTTTAGCTTGTAAGCGCTATGTTTGTCTTCTAGAAGCTACATGATCTCGACAAGGTTCTCATCAAACCAGTCTTCGTGTTTATTTTTTTTTTTTTGGTGGAGGGCCCAAGACACTCGAATGCTGTATTGTACATCGTATTGCAAAGTGTGCTCCATGCTGCTTCCACGTCGTGGTCATTCAGCAGGGTGGAGTTCAGGTTTTCCTCCAGGGTGTCAGCAAAGTACTGAGAGGTAGAAGGCAACTTGAGCTTACCAACGTTGAGACATTTTGAAGCCTTAGTCTCCCGGGGACGTATCCTGAGTTTGAATCGGAAGTTGAGAGGAGAAGTTTAGAAACTGTGAGACAATGATCTGTCAAGCAATACGTGCAGCACATAGCCTTGGTGAACAAACGAACTGTCTGTCTCTCTTTCTGACAATGATGTAGTCCTGATCCTTGTTTTCTTCTTGTTCTCTTTGTTATTTCGACCGCATGTATAGGGTCCTCATCAGCTGCGGTAAATTGGCTAGGTAAAAGTGAAGCAGGCCATCGTTTGGGATACTTTTTCTAATCCGCTCCTCTTGCCATGGAGGTGAGCAGTGCGTTCCTAAAAAGGGCTGCTCAGTCGCACAGGTGGCCGCCGAACTTCAATGCTGCTCCGGTCGGTGAAGTGCGACCATATGGCCTGTCACGCCTATGTGCAGATCAGCGACTACCGACTTCCAGTGAATCGGTACATGTCACCTTCGTTGCTCTCCTGTCGCCACAGGGCTTTTGGGTGGATGATAGAAGGAATGAAGATGATCAATGACTTGCACGATGAGTTTGATTAAAATGAAGAGGGGTTGCGCGTCACCAACCTCACTCTCTCGCCCGCAACCATCTAGATCCAGAGGCAGGACAGATATCAGGACGTCTGGAGATGGAGATAAATACAGCGGATGACTAAGACGTGCTATATGTGCTTTGCCTTGCTCCAAGCATTCCACGGTGCTTGCTGTGTCCCCCTTCTTCTCCGTTTAACCATGACGGTTTCCTCGGCAGAGTCCGCCGGTGCATAGTCTTTACTTACATGCGTTATAGGTAGGCAAGCCTTAATAAACAGGGTTTGAGACGGTCAGCGCTTTGTGAAGAGAGAGCTCTCCTAAAGGGATCTCCCTTGAGAGTGTACGGGATCCCTATACCCGGACTAGTGGAGGGAAGGGGCGTCAGGCATTTGCAGGTTGTGAGACACAGCCCAATGCCCACAAAGCATATATATGATTGTGCACATATGTTGCTTAAGTTTGATGAAAATCATATAATATATTACACGTTTAACTTATATGAACATACAAGTGTCCATTGTCACCATGGTTTAGCATGAGATTAAATAAATAAAATATTTCACGTAAAGGCTCGAATTCAGATGTGACATTATTAAGTAAATAAAGAATATACGCATAGGGTAAATCAAGGGAATTTTCCTTCAATTTTCATTTTTAGGATAGGGATAAAGATTTACTATTGAATCAAGTTGTATATATTTGTTACTGAAATAATATTTTGAAATGCTTATACGTGATAAAAATTCTTTAAATAAAATGACCATGCAATATGTTTTTGGTGTGCAAATTGTCACAGTAGTAAGTGCTTTCCTTTGATCAAAATTTCAAAATTGCGTATTCCCCTTTTATGCTCAAGGGTACAATTATATTCCTATGTAATTTAGAGTAATAGCATGGTCTGCATTCAAAGGAATTTTTCAAGAAAATGTCATCCGAAATAAGATAGAAATTGCGTATTGAAAAACCAACCTTCTTCTTTCAAAGACACAGCTGAGAGAACGCACAAGTTGGGTAAGTGTATATAAACAGTTGATACACCATTAAAGCCACAATCAATTGAATGCTATCATACATTTTCTGAAGGTAGAGATGTATGTCCTTCAATTATTAACTATGAAAATTATTCACCGGAGATGGTACCGATACCGAAAAATTCATGGCCTGGCTCATGGACTAAACGTGTAACAAAAGAAATAAAAGAACAAATAACAAAAAAATATTAATCAAAATCATCTGAAAAATTCCTTTTTTGTACAGTCACGCAGCTATATTAAGAAATCATTGAAAATTTCTTGGGAATTTTAGATTTTTCAAAGAGAATTAAGTTAAATTTTTTTTATACATAAGATTAATTTATCATTAAATATTGTATATTAAACATTTTAAAAAGAGTGCAAAAGAGGTGAACCACCACCATGTCATTATGTATTTTCTATAAATAGCGAACTGTCCCTTGATACAGAAATAAGTTGATAGAACAACAGTACCGTGGAGTAACTTCTTTGAGTTTTATAAGAAATGTATACTGAGTATTTACAAATATCGAGTTGCTGGCATACGCCTGAATTGGCGGTACACACTTCTGCACTGTAGATTGTATTTATAAATGAATTCTTAGCGATTCATTAATAAGCTCATTTTTGACTGAGCCAAAGCTGCAAAAATATGGTCCGCTTTTTTAATTACTCGTATAGTAGTTGAAAAACATCTGTTATGCCTAAAACGCACAGCTAGAATTCCACTGTCTGATTGGTAGAATAATTATTCGAAACATTTGCACGAAATCTTACCCATTGTTTTTAATTTTATACTAATAACCCGAAAATTTTCGTGAACCTATGCTTACCTCGGGATTCTAGCAGCACTTTCCAAGTATTTCAAGTCAATTTGTCAATCTATACAAATCATATGTGCTGATATGTCTATCTAACTGTTGCTCTTTGCACTATTTTTGACATGAATGACAGAGGAAAGGTCGACCAGTATACATGTAGTTAAATAGCTGACTGCCTTCGAAAGGAAATATAATCGACGAATGTAAAAATGCATGGTTACTGTTTTGAAATTAAAGCAATATATGGGCGATGGTAAGAAAACGTGATAGAGGACGAGGCTTGCCAAGCCCTCTTACGTTTTCGACCCGAGACCAAAGATCGCTTATATTTCAAGATAGTTATCGTGTATTTTGTTTATCCTGCAACAGAATTTTACATTATGTATTCTAATGTTAATAGGCAAGCTCACCGCAGCTTGTTTTTGCTAATTTTTTACAAGCCAAATAAAACTCTTTCATGAAGATGAATAATGTCATTTATTAAAATGACGGTATAAATGTGAACAATTTAACAGACAAGAATTCATTGTACTGTAATGATTAGTGAAAATATGAACATGACATAGTAGACAGAGTTGTAATTTTAAGATGAATTAATCTCTTCTCCCTTAAAAAACTAGTATAAGGTGATACATGTGTATATACTTGTAATAGCCTGTAATGAGAGTTTAAGAATCTTTTTTTCGGAATGCAAGGCAGCTGTTAAGTAAATTATTAGAGTAAAATAACAAATAAGCGAAAGATAAAGAAATTAGAATTGCACCACGAAGAAGAATCCCTGACATTGAAGAGGGGTACTGGAAGCTATAAATCTAAAAAAAGAACGAAACACGTATTTTCTGCTATCAATAGAGACCCGAGGAAAGGTACAATATGCATAGTCAAAGAGGTACCGAACCATTAGAATTGATCCTGTTTATATTCTGTAATTGAATGTAGTAGAAAATCTAGCTACATTTAAAGAAATTTTAATACCGTATTAGCAGAATTTTACTTAAGATATATTTTTGGAATTGTTAGCGAGGGTACCAAGATCGCTAAGATTGAATAGCGCTACAAATGATTGCAGTTTATTTGTAATAGCTTCTTAAGTGAGCTTTTTAAAATTGCTAAAAATACATTTCGCTAAAAATAAAATGCTATTTTTTAAGGACAAATCGCTAATCTTGCGTCCAGATAAAATTACACTTATACGTATACCGTATAAAGTTAAATATTTGATCATAACGTCAGGTAGATTAGTCCTATGCAAGTTAATATGCATTCATGTATTTATCCCGAAATACACGAACATAAATCTATTTCTTTCATTGTATTTAGTCCTTTTTAAGCAGCTCAAATGGAGATGATTTATATATTACCATTTATTGATACATGTATTTTCCCAGTGCACACGCACAAACTCTGAAGTTGACATCTGACTGACTATGTGGTTTTTTGAGACCAGGTCTTCCAACAATCAATTGGGATCCCCGTAGATATCAATTGCGCCCGTTATTAGCAGACTCCTTTTTGTATTCATATGAAACAGAATTTATGCAAAATCATGCGTGAAAAGAGGAAAAATCTTGCTAAGGCCTTCAACTCGACATTAAGATATATCGACGACGTATTGTCAGTTTTAAACAATTAAATGCTTTCTTTGTTTGTTATTACTGGAATGAACGGAAGAAGCTGTTGCAGAAAAAATACATAACCCGCGTAAGCGGTTTATGTAATTTTTTTCTGTGATAGCTGCGACTGTTCATTCCAGTAATAAGAAACAAAGAAAGACATTTTATTGTTTATATTTATATCTGTTTAAATAATCAATTAAAGTAGGATTAAAAAGATTAATTATGGTATGAATGATGCGAACATCTTTATACGTTTCATTGATGGAACAGCCACTGATTGAGAAATCTGTACAGCCGACATGCCTACTTTAGTTTATGCAGTGATGAACGCAATGGGGTTTCTTAAGAAATAAAGGAGAAAAAATTCAGTGGATGTAAATAGAAGGGGATGAAGAACCTTTAGCTGAAAAAATACCTGTCATTCAATTTTTTTCATACTTTGCATATCTCTAACTTAGTATGTCCCAAATACCTTAAAGCAGAAATATCAATAGGTTTCTAGAATTATTATTGAGATATTGAGTGACAATTACGAAACTCCACAGTGTCCAAGTGAAGTTTGGATTCTCCATGTTTCTGGGCTAATTACTCGGTCGATCATAAAAAAATTTTCAGCATAGATAAAAAATATGTCAGCAAAAATGTGTCTTTTAAAATACTTCAAAGTATGAATATCGTAAAAAAAAATTCGAAAACAAGATTCTTTTGTCACATCGCATCTGGAGACGGAAAATTGCGTTCTTTTTTTAGACAACTGAAACACCAAAAAAATTAATCTCCTAAAAATCCTATTGATTAACCGCAAAAATATCAATGGGTGAAGCTGAGCTCAATATTGCACAGGGCATAGTTAAATAAGACATGAGCATGAGAAAATCGCGTCATGTTTACATTTCTCGCGTACGGGAAAACCCTACTATGACGTCACACATTTGCGAAATAAGCGAAGTAAGACACAACTACAAAATATTTCCGTCAACAACTATGTAAAAATATTTTTTTGTGTTCTGTAATATATAAAATATCCCCCCATGTACTGATCATGACTCGTTTTTATGATATCATACTACCCAAATTTTACCTTGATTATATAATCTTGCTGTACTAAGATGTGACATCAGTGACTCGTTGGACGCGTAGTGTAGGGAAACAGAAGAGTGGATCAATCTATTCCGTAACTTGAAATTATTTGCAAGAAAGTTTGAATGTTTTTAGATAGATATAAGATGGTGAACTCAAACAAACAGTCATTTTTTTTTTACAAATACTGTGGTTTCAATCTGGTTTTGTACATATTTTATCAGAGATTATGACGTAATTAAACTGAGCCACGTGACCATACATCCTTCCTCCCCTTAACAATAATAATTGACATTCTTATGTCGATACAATATATAATGATGAACTTAAGATAGCAGATACCTCAGAGTCTGACACATTTATACGAGGATATTTTTTCTTTAAAGAGGCGTAAAGGGTAATCTAACAAACAAGCTCTATGATAAACGTGATAACCTGTACTCGTCTATTGTCAACTTTCCTTATTTATGCAGCAATATTCCTTCATCACGTATGAATTTCTAAAATGGGGCAAATTATTGACAAACAAATTGATGAAGCAAGGCATTATTCCCTAAGTTTTATGATCAATACAGTGACTTTGTCAGCAAATAGAATTATCATTGAGTCAAATTCTGACTGAGGGTTTTCATATTAGGTTTTAGATCATTATTTTTACACTGAATTAACGGCGGATTTTTCCGTTATTTCTTATCCTATTTTATATCGTTTAAAGGACTCGAATACTGTTCTTTATCTACATGTCCTTCATACATATTTTTTTTAATTACAGGACTCTTCCATCACAGAAATTTGACTACTAAGTGTTCATTTACCATCTGATAATGTACCAACAGTTATGGATTATCAAACAACGAATGTTTTAATTTTTACAGGTTCGAATATCTCTCTCTCTCTCTCTCTCTCTCTCTCTCTCTCTCTCTCTCTCTCTCTCTCTCTCTCTCTCTCTCTCTCTGATATTGATATGGAATTATAGGTATAGCAAATAGAAATGAAACTTTAAATGATGATTATAAAAGTGAAAGATAATTAGAATAATTGGCATTAGATCATCACAGAAACACAAAACATAATAAAAGTTCAAAAATACAAAAATATAGAAATTCATAATTTTAATACTTAAATTAAAGCCGAGGAGTGACAAACCAAACTAAACTAGGGCTAATTGTAACGGGGACCGTTACAGATGTTCCCCAAACGCTCCCCAACTCCCTTTTGGTGCCATATATTCCCTGTAAGCGCTATTAAATAAGACACACTTTATGCAATTTAGACTTAAACAACGTTTTCCCAGAAGAATACAAAATATATTTAAAATTTAGCATTGCAAACGTGGTCATCTGAATGCATGTGCGTAATGATCATATCATCTTGTCTACACTATTTATATATTTCAATATACTTAATATCAAATCAATTAATCCAAAAATATTAAAAAGTACACTCATTTAAGCGTATTTCTAATATTACTCATTTCACGTGCACACACGTGCATGCACGTGCATGGGGACTATACTTTCTTGTAGGAGTCTATTATGTCTATCTATGTTCTAAATCCCACCCTGTTTGGTTGAAAAACAAGGGAGTTATAGCCATTTACAGTTTTAGCCAGTAAGATTGCAGCACACGTGCATGCGCGTGTTTTCACGAAAATTGTTATAAATCATATTTTAGTACATCCTAAACTATGTATATATTTTAGATTTCATAGCATTTGGTCAAAAAACAAAAAAGATATTGAGATTTTTGTTTCAGCCAATCAGATCGAAGCGCACGTGCACGTACGTGCATGTATGTGCATGATGACCATACCTTCTTGTAGGAGTCCATTATATCTGTCTATGTTCTAAATCCCATCCTGTTTGGGTGAAAAACAAGGGAGTTATAGCCATTTAAAGTTTAAGCCAATCAGATTGCAGCGCACGTGCATGCGCGTGTTTTCAAGAAAACTGTAACATATCGTATTGTAGTACATCCTAAAGTATGCCTATATTTTAAATTTCATATCATTTCGTCAAAAAACAGAAAAGATATTAAGATTTTTGTTTCAGCCAATCAGAGCAAGGCGCACGTGCATGCGCGTGAGTTCTTGCTAATTTGACAGTGTCATTTTATCTACACTATTAATATATCTTTATATAATGAGTTTCAAATCATTTAATTAAAAAATGTAAAAGTTATAGCTATATTAAGTATATCGGTCATTTCACTCATATCACGCCCACGCACGTGCATGCGTATGCGCGCAAAATGACCTTCGTTCCGCACACCTACACTACACACCTATTAACCCTAAAAAGGTTTTAGCTTAGTTGAGTGATCAGTTTCTGAGAACACTCGCGGACAAAAAAGTACCGGAGAACAAAGAAGAAAAAAAAGAATAATAATAATAATAAGAAACCGAGTAAAAACAATATGTTCCCAAACTCCGTTTGGGGAACATAACTATGTACAAACTTCAAATTTCCTCTTACATTTATGAGCAAAAAACTTTCGGAGAACATAGAAAATAGGTTCCTGAGCAGATACGTTTAAAAAATGAAATCATTCCCAGGGAATGCTTTTTTTCAAAAAGTCATACAGTAATAGACTTAAGAGAGTCGACATCATTGTCAATTTAATGAAGTCTTAATCTTGAAAAAATTGGAAACAAGGAGAAAAGACAAATGAAAGTGGTATTATAAGAATATCTCCAACTTTTCGCTAAATTGAGAACACCCTGTTTTAAATTCTCCTCAAATAACTAAAAATGTCTTTCAAATGTTAACGGCAAAAATGTCATACCAAAGTGTTCATTGCAGATTAAAATCTAATCGAGGAAAGAACGTTCAGTACACGTCATAGACTCATACAAAATCTTTATATATAAAATAGTAGATTCCCTTTATGAAAATTAAATAATTCTAAATCATGTAAATATTGTTTCAAAATGAATAAGAGCTGTGTTTAAAAGGAGGGCAACATGAATTTAGTTTTCTCGGATTGTATTGAGGACATGTTCTCTTAGTTTGAATTTCCATGATCCCCCAAGAGTGAAATAAACTGGAAATTCGTGTTTATGACAGTTTAAAAAAATTAAACTGTTATGATGTATTTCTTGTTATTTAAATTATCTAGCTATTTTTCTTGGTGTATTTGGTTTTACCTGGTTTGAAGCCCAAGACAAATGTCAAAGAAATGGACAAAAAATACCGACTGGTCCTGAATCTAAGCCAAGCTCATCTTATTGGACTACATACCATAAACGCACTTCTCACTGGATGTGTAATTTAGGTAAACTTAGTATTAATCAATATAGAATGTTATTGGCAGCAGTTTCAAAACAATATTGATAAATTTTATACAAGGATTGTAATTTAAGGAAGTTTGTATTTCCTATTTAATTTTACTTAAGTATTTGACTTATATTATATATAAATCAATAAATAAGCATTCGTCGTTATATTTTCTAAATACCAATTGCAGAACTAGTAATATATATTTCATGAATTCTCAGAACTTAATTTAATCACCGAAAATTTCTTATTAATGATTTGCCGAATATGTTGTAATTCAACAATCACTTCTAATTTTAAAAATGCACACTTTTTATTTTAGTTCAATAACACTAAATGAGAATAATTTAATTTCAGTTGTAATGCGTCATTTAATTGGTTAAACGGTTTTATCCATTTCGTATAATATAACTTGCCTACGTCACAATGAGTTACGTCAAAAACGTATCATTCCGCTTGACGTTACTTTTAAAATAATGCTCTCTTTGAAGCCTTTTTCTGGAGGAAATATTGTCTCATTGTCTACATCAAAATTAAATTATAAGAAATGAAGCTTATATTCAAATGTGTTATTCGATATAACAAAACTTGGGGCAGTTTACGCTTATTTATAAACCGATTCGCAGTTTATAAAGCGTAAACTGCCCCAAGTTATGTTATATCGAATAACATAAGTTGAAATAAGCTCCATTCCTTAAGTATAATCTTACTCATCCAACGGTAGTTCATGAAAACGTATAACGTGCACGTTTTCATGAACTCAAATAGAAAGACAATCTAAATGATCATGGATACCCTTCCCACTAGAAGCATGTGTCAGTGTTCTGATTGTGCATTTATTTTATGAATGGCATTGAGTGGATTATACAATTCTTTTTTTTTTTTTTTTGTAATGTGATCGACAAGATAAAAATGTTTTCTGTAATTTACGTATTAAGGAATCTTACTACATACCTACACAATATATTGTATGTAAACGATTAAATTGATTTCAAATCAATTCTACAAAGGATTTTATTCAAGTATAATTGTACAGTGCATGTAGCAATATGTATAGTTGTTCGATTTCATTTAAGCATATTTTATTATGTAACAATTACAAAATGGATTGGGCAGCAGGCATATCCTATATAAGCCCTCTCCAAGTGTATAGTTCTTCGGCCTAATTTGTTAATAATAATATATAGTTACTGTGGTTTCATTAATATTCGTGGGCATCAATTTTCGTGGATTTAGTAAAATTCACAGTTTCGTGGATATGTAAATTCGTGGATAATGGTCCTAACAGAAAAAAAATGTCTATCTTTTCATTTTTTCTTTCGTCGTTATGCTTTAGCGGGAACATTGTGCCGTTTACAATGTTAGGGTACGTAGATATGTTTTAAGAAAATTACTAACAGGAGAAAACTCTTTAATTATTTATTTATCTCCATTGGCTTTTCAAAAGTTGGAACCTTCAACAATGAATTATTCCTTTAATGCGCACGGACAAAAATTATGATCGCAAGTGTGGAATACGGACGGTAATTAAGGAGCAACAGGATATCAGAAGTAACAACAATTAAGTATTATTTCAATTCACAAAATGGCGTTAGTTACTCATTTTCACATGCACGGCGTGTTTCGGGACTTGATAGAGACATCCAGACCCCTTGTTTGAAGATCTCGGAATAAAACACATTCACGTGCGATCATGCGCGATGGGTACAACATCCGCTTAAACAAGTAATATGAACTACAATCATTCAACCATGAATGACAGGACTTTCGCAGCATACATGTATACTCATTACCTCATGTATAACAAAAATATGTTTCTAAGCAAACAGATAAAATTCAAATAGCATTAAATTATGTTGATAATTTGTATGAATTGAGCATGTTTTTAACGGCAGAGAGTAATAAATTATTTTTATCAGATTTTTTAGGTAACGGTAATTTGTTATTTTCTCTGTACAGGTGATAATTAGGGTTTAGACACTTAAAAAATTGTTTGAGAAAACAATTTAACACATTAACGCCTGATTATCATCCTATGGCTTTGGTGGGTATATCGCTGATTGGTATATGCACTGCGTTTGCGGACAGATCTACGTGTTGTTTGTTTATCTCCGTGCAAAACTTTTTCCTAAAAAAAGTTCAGATAATTATTTAAAATTATTTCTTCATTTTTTAAAATAATTATTTTAAAAAAAGGAAAAATAGGTCTTTAAAGTCGATCTGTTGAGGAAAAAAAGGAGAAAGGCTATTTAATATATATTAACGAAAGTCGGAATGGGCTTTTAAAAGGTTTATCGTAAATCAAAATGAGGCACCAAACTTCGTTGAACATTTGATTTCGTTGATCAACTCAACAACGAAATCCACGAAAATTGGTGTTCCACGAATATTGATGAAACCACAGTATCAAGTAAAACAGTGCAATTACAATACTCAAAACAATTTCCTTTAAATAACAAACCTTATTTAGTTGCTTGAGTTTCTGATTGGTTATATCTAGGTTTTTTTGCGACCAGGTTTCAACAATCTATTAAAATTTTCATGGATACTTATTACGCCCTTTTTTTTACAGAGATATAGGCAGTATTTGAGCAAAATTTTGAGCGTGAAAAAAAACACATCTGTTTCATATTTGGATACTTACCTTTAAAAGGATGTTAATGGTAATCTAAAAACAAAACTATGATAAAAATGGTGATTTCATTTCTTTCTATCATCAACTTCCCTTATTATGCAGTAGCGTACATTCATCATCTGCATACAAAGTTTATGTATCTCAGTTGATTTGATACGCAAGAGCTTGCTCTGCGTTTGAACAATTTCTAAAACGAGGTAAATTATTGATAAACAAGTTGTTGAAAACAAGAATATCCGGTTCTATGGTCAATGGCCTTCAGCAAATAAAATTTATTATTAAGTCAAATGTTGACTGACGTTTATCATACTAATTGTTAGTCCATTACTTATACACTGAATTAACAACGGTTTTTCACGTTATTTCTCAATCATGATAATGAGCACTAGCGGGTGTGACCGGTCGGCAGGGAAGTTTACTCCCCCATGGCACCTGATCCAACCTCCAATGTTTTGGAGGTCCGTATTTGCTCTGCTCCTTCTTGTTTGCATTGTTTAATTGGACTTTTGATATTTTTAATACTGTTTGTTATCTCCATTAGTTTTATCATGTCAGAATAAATTATACAAAAACAAATATCAGTTACTGTTAAGGGGGCCGACTATTGTTTTATTGTGAGAAAACCACAATAGCGAAACTCTTCATTTTTATACCATATATAACTTACATTAACTTCAGTGTACATGCAAAGTTTGGGGGAAATCTACCGTCCAGGTATTTTTGAGGGACCGTCTCAAAATACATGTACATTTACCATAGGATTATTTAGGAAAGTGTCAGTTTTTAGCACTTGAAAGCAAATTATACAAATACTACAATAGACATTTTGTTCAAACTATAATATTTGATGAGTTATACTGTATTATACAATATATGTAGGAAACACAAAATTCTACCGTCTTGTTTCCAGAGGGGGCATCTCAAAATGCAAAAAATTAGCAAATTTTACTATTTTTATAGAGTATTACAATATATGAGTGACACAATGGATTCACATTAAAACATAATAAATATATTGGAGATATTCTCAAGTTTCTAAGTTTTAAATTTCAAGAGCCTATGTTTATTACTTTTTCTTGAATAATATTTTTAGTACCCCTTTCTTAAAGAGCTACAGATTATCATAACGTCAAAAACGCACTGCAACGATGTCAACCTATCTATCATATGCATAATCGGTTAAAAAATCAGTTATATCAAATTGTAATTACATTTTTTTACCTTTAATTTCTTAATTTTATTTAATTTCAATAATCAAGCGAAAAAAGTTGCATTAAAACAGTAATTACGCTTCATTTTACTATGATGCGCGATATATTGCGCATTAAAACTATAGTTGGCCCCCTTAAATCTATTTTTTTTTTTTTTTTGCAGGATGTTACTCAGATAAAGATCTTTCTTTCAAAAGAATGAACAATTATTCCCTGAATGTTCCATCACCTGGATTATGTCAAGAAAGATGTATTAAAAGAACGCCGAGCACATTTCTGTTTGCAATCAAGGTTTTTGTATATTTTATAATGTGTGTTAACAGCTAAAAGATGTCGACGAAATAGAACAAAAACAATTTAAGAAGTTCTTTGAAACTTTGAAATGTAGAATATTATAAATAAATTTTTGAACACTAACACTACTATCGATTATGACTGCTGCTCATATAATTCAATGTTTTTAAATGAAAAAGAAGATACACAATTAGATTACGGCTGCTTCCAAAGGAAATAATCGCTTAACGGTCTGAATTTGAGGTTAATTTTATATTTTATATTAAATAGATAAGTACTTACTTAATTTTAACATAAAAATGCGAGTGAAAAATAATTTTAGATAATCAAAGTTAAATGCATTTAATCTTATTGTAAGACATTGTGGATGCACCTAAATGAGTACCGAAACGTCGTTAAGATTTAAGCAACACTGTTGTCTTGCAACGATAGACAAAAACTAAATACAATTATTCATTTGTCTTCAAATTTTGCAAAATATAAAAAAAAATCGAAATAATTGATGTAGGCAAACGTCAATTTGATGAAATGTATTAAGTGTTTCATTTTTAGGGGGGCGACCCTGTGTCCATTTATTTGCTCATAACCAAATATACATCTTATATTTATCGTTAGAACAATTTATGCATCTGTCTGAATGAACCTCCCAAGAAACCATCAAGTCAACTTAGCAACTGTAAATTCTGCATGGTAAACAGTAAATTCTCACCGGAGCCAGAGTGTAATGGCAAATTACCTTTCAGAGTATTCTTCTCCAGTAAGTAAATACCAGTCACACTTGAAACGCTTGTTTTTATATTAAATTCTTTTAATAATTTTACCAAACACAATACAATTTATATTAAAGTCTGAATCCATATCTATCATGAATTGATGATTTAGGCTAAAAACGACTCAAAGGAACAAATGTGCCGATGTATACAAATTGCAATAAAAGGATAAATAAAATTTATGTAATAAAAATTGTATATACGGTTATGTAACAAAAAAAAAACAACAGAAAAAACCTCGAAAATTCATTGCTAAATGTGGATAACGATGGCTTAGTTCAAAAAATCATATTTCGGTGTTTCCTTTCAATTATCGAATATATATTTAATTTGGCATATAGTTTTTTTTAGAATTCCTTATAAACTTATATTAACTTCCCTTATATAGTTGTATTTCAAAAGGACATCAATTTACCGGCATCAAACTGTGACAAAACAAATAAATGCTGTGAAATACATATAAATCGAATGAATGAACGAGAAAATCTAAGTGAGTAATTCAGTTTGTATATTTTATTTATATTCATTATGAAGACAAGATCAAGAAGTTACAATCGCTTTAGATGTTTTTCATTCACTTCCGCTTGATTATACCTGTCTTTCATGATTTTAAGTAGAAAGATGAAATCAAACTGCATATGATATTTTTTTTTTCTAAAGATAATATTTATTTTTTAGATATATCTCTGAGTAAAGTCTAAGAAAGATTATATCTAGATGATAAATGTTCATTGTTCTTGATGAACTTCTCTATAGACACAAGTATTTGCATTTTTTGTTTACTTTTTTCACAATTTCTTTTATCCAGATACAAGAGGACGTGATTTTACCTTTGCGTTCCGCAAAATATGGGATCTGCTAAAACCGCCATTATGGAACAAGTCCAGTTGTATTGTTTTCATAAGGCAAACTTATACAAGTTTTGATCAAGGTGTTTTTATTCTCTGTGTTAAATAAATGTTAAATATTAAATAAACTTTTTATCTCAGTTTCGAAACTTGAATTGATTTGATTTCGAATAACGTGTTGCACTCCTGTTAAGATAGAAATAATTAAAGTGTATGACACATTTATAATTGCAGGTGATAAGCTTACCGACTTCGACAAAAGCAAGATCTCCTCTTGTCAACAGTGCCTTAAAACTGGATGTCCATTTGTTGATTGTAACGATTCTGTGGATACAGTTTTCTGCTCAAAAGTATGATCATTAATGTTTTTTATCATTCAAACAGTGCAATTTTCCTGGATTTTAAATGTGAAAATCATTCTGTAAAACATGAATGTCCAGAAAGAGTTTTGCTTTCATTCAAGAAGCGTTATTTGCAATAATTAATATCTTTTTTAATCATCTGGTTGCATAAGTTAAAAAAGATGCTATTCAAATCAGCAACAATTTTTTAGCATGGTTCTGGTGTTTTAACAAGAAACAAAGTCTGATTTTAACAAGAGGCCCACGGGCCTTGTAGGTCACCTGAGCATTATGTAACAACTTTCCAGTTATTGAATTTGATTTAAGCTAGATGCTATATGGCATTCACAATTTTGAAAGAAGCACCATTGATCATCATAACAATACACTTAGCAGTTGCTTAGCTTGGTTACTGAATATCCATACACAGGATAGGGGAACAATATTGCATTCCAACTAATCAGTAATATTCAGCAATAATCAGTAGTGCCCCTAACACTGTGACATAAACCCCTGATCCTAGGTCCACAAATTGCACAAATTTTAAAAAGGCACCCTTAGAATTGCCTATCAAAAAATAAATAAATGTTTTATATATAAAAAGGAGCAGATTTCAAACAATTAATTCATTTTCAGTATATAAGTAGACCCCCCCCACCCCCACCCCTGACCCTGGGGCCTTGAATTCACAATTCTGCAAGATTAGGGCCCTTGCTCATCATAACTATTTAGGTAGTTCATCTGCTTCATACCCAGATCCAGAGAAGAAAATTTTCAAAGATTTAATGTATTTTCACTATATAATCAATAGAGCCCCGCCCTAACACCAGAGCCCCTGACCCTGGGGCCATAAAATTCATAATTTTAGAAGAGGCATTCTTGCTCATCATAACTATGTACTTAGTTAGTTTATTTAATACCTAGGAACAGAGAAGAAGATTTTCAAAGAATTCATGTATTTTCACTACATAATCAATAGAGCCACCCCCCCCCCCCAACACAAGAACCCTTGACCCTGGGGTCATAAAATTCACAATTTTGGTTGAGGCACTCTTGCTTATCATAACTATGCACTTAGTTAATTTATTTAATACCTAGGAACAGAGAAGAAGATTTTCAAAGAATTCATGTATTTTCACTATATAATCAATGGAGCCCCCCCCAACACCAGAACCCTTGACCCTGGGGCTATAAAATTCATAATTTGGGTAAAAGCACTCTTGCTCATCAAAACTATGCACTTAGTTAGTATATTTAAGACAAAGGGGCAGAGAAGAAGATTTTCAAAGAAATCATGTATTTTCACTATATATAATCAATAGAGCCCCCCCCCCCAACACCAGAACCCCTGACCCTGGGGCCATAAAATTCACAATTTTGGTAGAGGCACTCTTGTTCATCATAACTATGCACTTAGTTAGATTTATTTGATACCCAGGAGCAGAGAAGAAGATTTTCAAAGAAATAATGCATTTTCACTATATACTTATTTAGCCCCGCCCTAGCACTAGAACCCCTGACCCCAGGGCCATGAATTTCACAGTTTTCGTAGAGGACTCAATGCTGATTACAATCATGCAAACAGTTTGACTGCTTGATGTCCAGAAGTAAAGAAGAAGATTTTTAAAGATTGCATTAATTTTAGTGGTTTTGGCCCCACCCCTCAGGCCCCAGGGGGGGGGGGGGGGCAGGGATCGTGAAATTCATAATTTTTGTTCCCCTTCACCCATAGATGCTTTGTGCCAAAATAGGTTGAAATTGGTTCAGTGGTTGCTGAGAAGAAGCTGAAAATGTTCAAATGTTAACACACGACGCACGACGCACGACGACGGACGAAAACGGATAGCAATAGGTCACCTGAGTTTACTCAGGTGACCTAAAAATAGTTGTATATTTATAAATAAACAATTCTCATTAAGACAATATCTGTGGTCCCCGGTTACTCGTCAATTTATAAACCTTCAGTAAAAATCTTAAAAATTACTTTATATTATAGTCTGAAGTCTGTGTTTTATAGATGTGCAAGGGTTTAAAAATATTAAATAGTTGAAATAGTCGACGACACGCGAAGAAGTGCTTTGAAGGTGGGGTCATTTGATTTCATGAATATCAAAAGAAATGTGTGACAGTCACACACTTTGAAGCTTTCATAAATATCGATAGCAGGTTTTTTTCAAAGTCGAGATCGAAATGTAATGTAAATATTATATTTAAAAAGGTTGTGTCAAAATTTCTTTGTTGAACAACCTTGCGCTCTATGTTTCCTACTTAAAAGTATCACGATTATGAATCTGTTCAGTAAGTACATTTACATAGAATTAACATCTTGTTGACCTACTAAGAATAGATAATATGTCACGTAAATCCATACCGTCACAGGTGAATACCTCCGGAAACCGTGTTTATTTTATGAGGCTACACATGGAGCTTGTATTTGAGCAGTACAATCAACCAATTTCATTTTTTTAAAATTCAAAACAAAGTTCTCACGAGACTTCGATAGATATCATTTACGCAGCATTGTAAAGGCTTGAATAAGGGAGCGGGGCCTGATTATACAGGAAAAGTTTAATAAACAAGCATAATAAACAACAATAAAACTTATTAATGCATTTTAAAAGACTTGCTAGTTAAGTCCCATGTAGCTGGTTATAGACAAAGCACTAATTGCGATAAAGAAGAAGGTATGGTTTCCATACAAATTTTGCCCTGTAATTTTCTGAAAAATGATACTGGTGTAAAAGTTGAAAACTCATGCTTTTTAAATAATTTAAATTCAATGCAGAAAAATCATACAAGTCATTTTTCTCAAATGTGTTTTTAAATGCTAATTATGACGTCATAAACATGTGCATTTTCCTGTATTTTCTTAAAAAGTTGCAGAAGACACCAAATTTCAATGTAATTTTCTTTCAGATAACATTGTCCACAGGCATCGCCCACAAAGATCTTGAGATATGTGATTTGTTATTTAATTTTGCATAAAATATCAAAAAATTAACGTGGGCGACGGCTGTGGACACTGTTTTCTATAGGAAAATCACCCTTGAAATGTGCCATTTTGAGGTTTTTTCTGTTGAAAATAGAAAAATGCTTCACTTTAATGACGTCATATTTCCAGAATGGTAAACCTTCATGCCATATTCTTTCCTAAATTATCAGAGTCATTTATTTAACTAATATTAAAGCCAGTTTCAAAACATTTTGATGTCATTACATTTTTAGGGCGCAATAAAGCTAAAACCATAGCTTCTTCTTTGTAAGCATGACGACATTTTGACGAGAGGCAGATTGAGTAATTTTTTTGCATTGAAAAATGTGTTTTATTATTAAACGGAATATTTTTATCAGGTTTAAATAGTCGATTAATACCAATGTTTATCCTTTGTTAAGTGCAATTATTCATTAACTATCAAGAGAATGTATTTTATTAATTATGTCGTGTTTTAGAAAAAGGATATTTTTCTCAGCTTGAAAAGTGCTGCTGCTTTCGTTAAATCGAAGGAGTGATTTTATAAGTACACAAAATATTTGGTAAAAGTCAAATTTCGACATTGGATCATTTACCTGAAAATGTGACTATTAAAACGCGAATTCTATTCAAATCAGCACCTTTCAGAAATTACAAAGTATGCAGAAACAATTCATAGTTTGAATTTTTAATTTCAACTAGGGTATGCGATATTGAAATTTGTTCATGACCTACATTCAGTACACGACCTATGCATTCATCACGCGACTGTCCATCGATGGGGCCAAACTTCATACAGTACAGAGTGGGTTATACTATGCTATTTCCATAAGTATTTGAGTTCTGTGATAATAAAACAGCTTAACTAAAATATATTCATTTTTAAAAAGGTCCCCTTTTAGCACGTTTATTTTCCGTTGAATTCTCATAGAAGACCTTAACAGAGCTGCGTATGTTACACCGTTGGCTTTGAAGATTTTTCAACATGTTTTAATTCTTAGGCGTGTAAATTATCGCAATTTTCCTGGACATTGCCACTGCGAAGAACACACGAAAGAATATAGTAGTATATGTATATAAATACACATTAAAACAATTTCTTCCGAAAAAAACAAACAAAAAAGCACAAAAACTATTCCAAAGAAGTTACAATTATTTCATTTAATCTAAACAAATACCTGTCTTGTACACTATACTAACCGTTTGAATATCCAAAGAAACTTTACACTCTATCCACGTTTTTTGCTCATAAATTCAGAAAAATTATTCGAATCTATTAACTAAATGCAACAAAGAAGATGATAATTAAGTTTGGATTTCATCTCCCAATCTTGTGAATTTTATCATAAGACAGAAAAAAATCCATGTGAAATAAAATAAATAATGTTTCTTTATTCCAGCAACTGTATGTGAAGTGTATAATTATGTATTTGTACACGTCATGCATTGGTCATGATCAATTAACAATAAGTAAAGCCGAATATTTATTATGTACAACATTTAGAGCGAAATTCAGAAATACGCATGGCATACATGTCAGGAAGGTAGTATCAGGGGGAGGGGTGAGACCTTGTTACGGAGATAAACCTTAGCCACCACTCCCCCCCCCCTTTAAGAAATTTGAACGTCTTTTAAGCTGTTACGATATTAATAAAATACAAATTGATGTTTTTTTTCAATTAAATTAAATTGAGTAAAAGTTTGACTCTTACATAATCGATTTTTTTTTCGAGTTTGGAAACTGGGTTCATCTTCTTCTTTCGCTTTATCAAACTTTTTGTACGTATCTATTTTTGTCTATTTTTTCACAAAACACCGAATAAGAATACCCGGAGAACGAAAAAATTGATTGATTGATTGTATTTTCTTTAACGTCCCTCTCAAGAATTTTTCACTGATATGGAGACGTCACCGTATGCCGGTGAAGGGCTTCAAATTTTGACCTTTACTCGGCACTCAGGACCATTGAGCAGTGAGGGATCTTTATCGTGCCAACGCCTGCCGCTGACACGGGGCCTCGGTTTTTAAGGTCACATTCGAAGGAACCGCAACTTTCACTTCAAAGTGCCGAGCGCATGGCGAAGGAACAGTTGCTACCCATTTAACGACTAGGTCGGTCGCGGCCGAGATGCGAAGTCACGACCTCCCGATCACGGAGCGAGCGCTCTACCGACTGTGCCACCGTGAACGGTAGAACGAAAAGAAGAACCGCACCCACTCAAAGTTAAAAGAATGCACATAATATGCAAAATAAAAAAACAAGCAATGATATTATTATATTTATCGTATCTCAAGCTACAGCTCACAATGTCTTTCTTAATATAGAACCTTATTTAAATGGCTTCGCCCATTTTCTTGTAATAAAAAAAAACGTACTCTGTTCGAAAGAAAATGTTCCGTAATTTGTTTGTTCGGTTTTTGTTGGAATATGGATTGTATTTCCTGATAGTCAAAGTAACTTATAATGATTCAACAGTATCTTAATTAGAAATACTATGTTATTCATTATGAAAATTAAAATAAAACTGTATCCTCAAGTATATTCTGTTATATAAGGGCGAAGAAAGGGACCAAGCTACCGTATAGCGGGTTATTTTAGCAGGGTGCTAATTTTGGCTTATTTCAGCGTTTTGATAGTAGCCTGCCTAAATTTTAATCGATAAAATATTTAGTAGTCTTCTTAGTCTTCTTCTGCTGTGAGTAAAAATCCTCTGTCCGCTAAAATAAATTACACCAAAATTATTGACATAACTTTAAGCAGGCTAAACGCCAAATTTTTCTCATCGAAATCTTGATTTGTGCATTCATATTTTCAATTTGTTCTCATTGGTTCAAAATCCATGCAATAAGTTCTTGAGAAAAATATTAAATTAAAATATGACTAAACAATCTGTGTCTTAAATTTGACATCTGAGACTTTACTTCTATTCTCATTTAGAAGTCCAGCATTTCAATCTTTATTTCCTGAAACTAATATTCAAAGAGTCATCGAAAGATTTATTTTAGTGTATTTCTGACAAATGATCACAATCTTAATTCTTATCATCTTAAAACATTTTCGTTCACTCTCTAGACCATATTTACCGCTCGACCTGCTATGAGCACAACACCAGAAACGAATACAAATGTTTCCTCAAAAATATACTCCAAACAGAATTGGATACCAACGTCAGTTTCATCATTTATAAATCAACCAAAGACGACAAAAACCAACACTGAGGTAAAATAAAACTTTAAAAAAATGTTTTACAGCATACATATAAATGATTTTTGATTTTACAAGAAAGTCTACTATATTTTAGAATAATATTTTTGTGCAATACTTTTATTCCTGCTTAAAGTCGAATCATATAAAATCAATTGTGAGCCGAACAAACAAAGATCTCTCAAAATTAGAAGTTAGATCATGATCAGATGCCATGAGGGAGTGACGATTCCCTGTCAAAAGGCCACACCTGAGTTGTGCCTTTCGTCACGATCAATTAATAAGGAAAAATCAATAGACAATTCAATGTGCAAAAATAGGCTTTTTAAAGTTCCTTTTAAAAATGTCAATCAACATTTAATTAGCTAAAAGATAGATCAAATTTGCAATTGGACAACCTTAAAATAAAGGAAAAGGTGGAGGGGTGGAGGCGGCTTAAAATAATCTGAAGCTATCCAACACACGTGTACTTTTCACGGCGTCCTAAAAGAAACTAAAAAGTGACGCTATCTGGACGATCAGGTCCTGATTTTTACCGCGCACGATTTTTATTGGGCGTTCACTAAACGTTTTCATTTCGAAGAATCGCTTGCATCTGCCTCTCCTTATTTGGACACGGCAAAAACTTTCCAACGATATGGGAAGCGCGATAACTCTTACACGCAGAGCATTCCAATGTACATAAAATATTTTAAGTAAAACTTAAAATTCATTTATATACAATTGCCAATGCCAATTTATTTTGACATAATAACTAATTTAAGAAACTTCTCGTTTATTAACATTTTTGTGTACTATTGTAATTCCAACTCACATTTATTGCACTATCGCAGTATTTCAAGAAACCACCTTCACTCTCCATTCTCATAAACAACAAGACATTTAGGTATGTTGCACTTTGCCACTAATGTGACTTTAATTAGAGAACATACTTGTTATTAATTATGAAAGGATTGATCTTGAAATCCATAAAATTATCAATAAACAACTGTTTATCTGTATCAAAAATTTACAACAGAATGAAACCGAATTATGAATATGATTAATATGTAAACCGTGATTACATTATATATGACGTAATTGATTACATAATTTATCAAACGTTCTTGTGGTCTGAAACCGCCATGTACTTGATTAATTTATACTTTAGATTAAATTTAATCAAGTTCATTCACGGCGTCCTAAAAGAAACTAAAAAGTGACGCTATCTGGACAACCAGGTCCTGATTTTTACCGCGCACGATTTTTATTGGGCGTTTACTAAACGTTGTCATTTCGAAGAATCGCTTGCATCTGCCTCTCCTTATTTGGACACGGCAAAAACTTTCCAACGATATGGGAAGCGCGATAACTCTTACACGCAGAGCATTCCAATGTACATAAAATATTTTAAGTAAAACTTAAAGTTCATTTATTTTTATAAAACATTATTATAAAACATGCTTTTGCAAATAAAACTTTATTCTCTTTTCCTTTAAACAGACCACAGTTCCCCCGCATACTTCATTTAATATATCACTTGAGGGTAAACCAACAGTCATAACATACCAATCATCATATGCAGCAACAACAATGAATCAACATAAAACAAAAGATATCAATTGGAAGGTTACAACGCATTTGAATAATTACACGGCAACGGTAGAATTAACCATGAACAAGGAAGGTGCATATGAATAGAATATGCAAAATATATGTATTATCGTTAATCATAATTAGTTTTATAATTGAAATTGCCTATATATTTTTTCGTTATTGATTCTGAAAAAAGGGTTACATTCTTCACACTCTGATCAGTTATATAAACGAAATGATTCTAAAAACTATTCAATATATACTGCTTAATAAATACAGGTTTTTTTGCATATGTCATATTTTCATGGTTGCTTTGTCCTACCTTAAAAGACATGTACAAGTAAAAAACTTGTCAATTGCCAGTTGATATGTTGTAGTTGCAAAAAATAATTCATTTTTCGTTAAAAACAAACTCTAAACCAAAACACAATGTCTGGCAGTTTACTTTTCTTATACAGCTATCATTTTCAGATACTCTTTAGAATAATGACAGTTGTCTATGACACTTAATGGTGCCCTTTATGTATAGCCTATAGGTGTGTAAAACTAACATTCTTCCTCAATAAAGTAAGTAAAGATAGAATACAGTGATAAATCTATACAAAAAAAAAATCTGAAAAATTCAGATGCGGGAATAAGTACACAAGAGGAGTAAGGTACATGTACTATGTCCTCTACGCCATTCTGGGACAAGGATTCTTTGGAATTCGTATTAAACACAGGACATATATTTACATAAAGGTAGATCAAACAGCGATTGGTTCTAAATGAAATTTGCATTTATCATATTGTTCACAATTTAATGCTGTGTTTTATACTTAGAGTACAGTTATTGCTAATCACCATGAGGAAGCACATTAATATTGGGTAATCAGAATATTAGAGAGGTACTGTAGATTTCTTAATTTTCACGAATACTGTTCGAAAAATAACTTTTATTCCTCCTATGATCACCGGAACATTGATTTGTGAGTGGAAATTTTATCGAAAAAATTATATTGATTTCAGCACCATGAAAATAAGAGTAATTAATTTACTTAGCTTTCACAAGCTGTGTTTTTTTTTTAAGTAAGTAAGATTATTTTTTTGACAAGTTTCAAAATATACTGCTCATAGATTTGTGTTATTAAATAAGGTACATATCTGTATACATGCATTTTTGAAAAATAGAAATAAATTTGCTATTTTTTTTTCTTTCTTTGGGGTTTTTTTTTTTTTTTTTTTTTTTTTTTTTTTTTTTTTTTTTGATTTCACTGCTCCTATAAAGAATTGACGCAGGATATAAATCTAAAATGATTTTTGTTCAGAATTTGTCTCGTGGTAAAAACGGATCATTTACCTATATGTCCTGAATTTCGGTCATGTGATTATAAGTTTAGTATTAATTTCATACAAACATGGGAGTTGTTAAATCAGACAGGCAAAAAACTTTAAAATTTTATTTTAATTTTTTTTGTTTTGGAAGATGAAGATAGAAGCAATGAAGAAAGCCATGAAGACTTCATCCAGATTGTAATTCCTGTACTAGCTATTGTAATTTCAGCATGTTTAATGTGTGTTGTCATCAAACTCATCAGGTATGAAGAGAAAATATTTATTAACGATGAATAAATCCTAGTAGAAGATTCATATTTAATAATACAAATTTCTTTTGAATACCTTTAAGCCACACGGAAGAAAAAAAGAAATATCAAGAACCTATTATAACTTATATGTGCATTTACGAGCTTTTTTTCATAACAATATTATCCATAACATGCTTTTTACATTTTCTTCGAAAGCACCACCTCTTTAACCTATTAAAAATCGTGAAATGAAAGGTTTAAATACTCTCATGCACAGGAATAAATACATTTTACAAATGAGTGAATATTTTATACCACAGAAAAGACAAAAGAATAAAAGATACCACCTTAATAACCATCAAGTATCCTACAAAATCACGTGTGATTGGAATAATTTCCTCAATCAGATATAGAATGCTAGTTATATTTAGATAAGTATCCTAAGCACACTTAACACTTTGCTCTATAAAACTCCGGCTACTAGATATCTTGTTTATATTCTGATGCAATTAGCATTCTATATTTCAAAGTTTTTTTTAAATGGTAGTAAGCATATTATAGGCAAAAATTATTTTATATAGAAAGGCCATCTCTAAGTTATGGTTTCGTTTTCTTATATTTTATGCAGAAGGAAGCAAAATTCACGAGTAAAAAGAAGTTTAGAATCACAAAAAGACTTCTCATCAGGAAGAATTATTGACAAAAACCTCTCCAGCCCTCAGTATGCTGAAATAAAGAACAAAACAGATGAACACTGTTTAGAGGAATGCACGTATGATTTGGCAGACAACAGTAACTTGGAGGAAGAAAGGTTTACATGTAACACTGAAGAAGAGAGTCACTATGATCATCTTAGAGATAATGTTCAAAACAAAAATGTAGAAGAAGATATCTATAATCATCTTCAAATTGAAAGTGAATCTAGTTATTCTACTTTTACACTAGGAATCGAGCTAAAGGGAATTATTGATAATCCTTACGGTGAAGCGGACTTTCAAAATGATATTTAGTACCGTTGCTAGTTCCGTTTAAATAATTTTTCTGAGTATTCTAAAGCAAAAAATGTAATTTAAAAATAAATTAGAAGGGCACTAAACAATATTTCAAAAGTTTTTCGAGGAAGTGAAAATTATCTTTGGCGTACAGCTTCAATTGTAGTGCACAAAAACATACTAACGTCGGTATATGTGTTTTAGTGATAGGCTCTTCGCTATGTGTTGTTTTTTTATTCATTAAAAAAAATTAACATATCTAGAATTATTTATTTATATACACGAGCAATGCAAGAATTCATTTTTACTGAAGGATAAAATAGAAAGAACTTTAATCGGTAATAACCAATATTTGCCCCCAAATCAAACTTTGATGGAGGTATATTCAATTAAGTTCTTAAACAGGGGAGTATATGCTGACTTCAAAGCACTGAATATTTTCATAATTAATGACGCCATATGTACTTTATGACGTCACAAACATGACGTAAATTTCAGTTTTTTATGAATTCTACAGAAAAATGTACATATTTCGTCGATATTTTGAGTAAAAGTCACCGAGCGCATGTGTGTAGAGGATCAATGTTTTGATTTAATGTGTAGAAATATTATATCAATTTAATATGTAAATATTGTTCCTGAACAAATATGCGCTCTATAAATTTTAGAGCTAAAATCGTTGAAATTTTGTCCATTTTGTATTGTTTCTGAAAAAGGATATAAAATCGGACAATTTTGTGACCGTTCGGCGAGGGATGCTTACTCCTCCATGGCACCTGATCCCACCTATGATGTTTTGGGGGTCCTTGTTTGCTGTGCTCTTATTTTGTATTGTTTTACGGACCTTGAGAATGAATTCTGTTCGTTATCTCAATATCCTTCTGTCTGAAGATTTAGAGCTAAAATATTTAATTTATTTCATATCAATGAGGATTTTCTTTAATTTGTTAGAATACAGGTAATAGTTGATTTTAAGATGAGAAAATTACTTGTAAAATGTTTGAAAATTAAAATATTTTTATCTGAAATTCCAATCTAAAAAGATAAACTATTAATACATCTGTAATTAATATTAATTTCCAATAACTGATCAAGGACCTGTCTACGACACAGAGATAGAGCCTCTAAAATAATAATGAAGACGATCCTTATTCATCCCGAAAATATGCCGCAAAATTTAAATTCTAATGAATCATATTCGAATTCTTTTATCAAGATTTTCCCGAACTTTTTTCGAAGTTCTCTGGCTTTTCCATCATTTCTATGCCACTCGGAACTCGGGAGTTTCCCGCTAGGTGTCGTTTTTGAATCACATCCGTAATTCCTGGTATGACATTTCCAAATTTTGGAGCATTTTTCACGTTTGACGCTGAATACTCGAATTATTGGGGCAATTAAATAGCACGATGAAAGACAAAAATATCTACCGAAACAAGATATCAAGACACATTTTGGTGATATGTAATAGGTTTATGATATTTTAGACCCGATATTCAAGAGGGGTCCTCTGTAAACAAATCGAAATGACATACCTTCTCTATGTTCTAATACCAGGGATATTTTTTTTTCGTCAATCGCTAAATCTATCTTATTTTTTGGGATTTTTCATATGGATTACATTGTAAATTATTAGTAGAAACAAAGTTCATGAGGAAAAAAAAGAAAAAAATATTTTGACCAGGGGTGTATATGGTTGGTCGGGGGTCCTGTCCACAAGTACCTGTGGTGTGCGTGTCTCATTTTGCTGTGATTTCTATAATTATTCTTGAAATAGGAGAATGTAATTTAGGAATGTTTTCAAGTTTTGTGCGCATTATTGATTTGTGAATCACACAGACTTGTCACATAGGCATATTTCATGAGGTGCACAAGCGCTTCATGAAAAATATGTCTTTGTGCAATTCTGTGTGACTTGCACACCAATAATTCAAACTTTATTTAATATATTCATTCTATTAGCAATTTACATGTTCGGAAGCACCAAAAATATAATATAAATATACTCAATATTTGAATTTCTCACTGCCAGATATCTGTATACTTACTGTATACGCTGTAGCGTTATTGTGACGTCATGTTAGCGCACTTTTCTTCGTGTATATTTCTACGCGTGATAATACAAGAAAATGGTATTCAAATCCATTTCGCAGTTAACTTATTAGAAAATCATGGCAAATGTAAATATTTATATATGTATGTTATGTATGTTTGTGAGGGTATGTGTGAGTGTTTGTGAGGGAGAATATTTGTCTGTGTTACTTTTGTTGTTTTTCTCTATATTAAAAAAACACAGATTTTCTTACCTATGGTCTGGTCGTTGATGGGAAGATTTAATTTCTTTTTGCTAGTATTCATATGTGTTGTGGCCTTCCATATTTACGAGACCATCAGAATCCTTTATGTTACTTGAGCCTGTAATATAGGTAAGCTGAGAAAAAGGCAAAAAAGTTTTGTATCACGAAGATGAAATTAAACTCGCGGAAATTTACAAACTCGAGCGTCATTTCTTCCAGGATAAAGCAAAAAATCTATATTCTTTTTTCTTTGCTTTTCTTATGGTTCTCGTATTTGCAATTTATATCAGTATTTATTTTAATTTCACAAATACTATTTTGGGCTTCCATTGGTAGTTTACAATAAAATCTCCGATAATTAGAAATTTTGTCAAAAAAACTATTTTACATCATTATGTACATGTATCTATAAATTATTTTCAATTTTACAGTGACATAAATTATACATGTTCACATTGTAGATCACTATCTATGAAAATCTCTAATTGATTATAATTTCTTTATCAATGAATGAACGTACATATGGGCCTTAAAAACATTTAAAACCTTTAGGGGGTAAAATTTTTTCTGTTCTTAAAATCTAAAATTTTAACACATATAAAAGCTTTCCATCCTCCTTAGACATCATCAGGGAAAAGGAAAACACCTATCCACTGGCTGTGATTTCGAAGGCTCTTTTATCAAACCCATAAAAGAAACCAATGCAGACAGGCCAAAGAGACTGGTTTCTGTCTGAAAATGCAACAGCTAATCAAATACCGGTAGACTTTAACACATGATGAACCCATGTCATTTTATTGCATGTACCTGACTGAGTTGACTGAAGGCCAAAACATCTTTGAAACCTACGCAAGTGAGTTAAAGCTAAATATGGATATATCTATGCAAATGAGCTAATAAAAATTCATAAATTTTATATATTTTGTGTACAGAGAAAGTTCAAATAGATTTTCTTATACATCGTACTTAGTACCCACATTTTATTTATGCAAGTGCACATTATGACGTCATATTATGAGTCATTATTCTCTCCCATTCAAGGTAATGAATCACATCAATAAAAGCACGTCGGTGCAACGGCATATCCTATCTAATTTAAAATAAACAATGTATAATATTAAGGAGAATGCTCTTAGAATTAATCAAATTGCTGCACAAATCCTATGCACTTTCTCAATCGATAAAAATTTTAGGAAATTTACCCTGTTTAAATTTAAAACTGCACGAATAGTAACTAAACAATTGCAGTGCCGGCATTTGTGCAACAATATCTTAAATCCTTTGAATATCCTGCGTCGCTTTCATACCTTGTTTCTGTTAAACAAAAAAAAAGGTATACCCTTGCGCTGAAGCGATTTTGCTGATGTTTCTTATTAACTTTTGTAGTAGAGGTTGATTACGTCATAATATCACGTCATAATGTGTTCTGGCTATCGCATGTCGTGGGTACCAAGAATGCATTAGAAAACAAGTCTTAACATTTTCTGTGCGGTAGGTAGAGCAATCATGGAATTTAATTAGACATTTTGCATATAAACCTCCATATGTAGCCTCAACTCACTTGCGTAGAGCGGCTGAAATAAAAGTAGATAACTGTTTTATTTTCATTCTTATAATGTGGTTCATTGCAAAACATTAAAAGATTTGACATATGCTCGACATTTTAAAAATGTCTACATATATACTATACTAGTATATACTTACAAGTGTGCTATTGATTGTGTATTTGTGAATTCAGAACAAGAAGATACATGTAAGATATGCAATGAACGTTTCAAGTCCAGAACGATTATTCTGCCATTCTATGCATTTTCAATTTACTCATAATTTTTATATATCCAGCTTGAGATTTTTTTTTTAATTTTCAGATTAAATATGTAAAATGTCACAAGTTTCCTATAGTTCATACAGTAAATCCTGTTCAGAAAATTTTAGAATTTTCAAATTTATTGAATATTTTAATTTATTTAATTTATCTTAAGTTCAGAAAAATTATAATTACATGTATAGATCTGTGTTTGTGAAAAATTTTTCTTAACCTTGTTTTATCCTATACAGTTTCCACTGAACAACGCAACCACACACCACGCAAAGACATCCCTGAGAATGAATAATTTTCGTTTATTTAATCCTATGTACACTTACATAAATTACACGAACACCTACATTGTAACAGAAGGCAACAGGAGAGTTATTAATCAATACTTGTTCGAAGGAGAGAGGCGAACGTGGTACCTTCAACTTTCTAGCAAATTTTTAAAACTAATGAATATTTATGAACAAGAATATTTTTTTTATCTTAAAAATATAATTACTGTCAAAGTTAGTTTGATTATGTGAGCACTGGATCTTAAAGAAACTCCCGTAATCAGATTCCTCTTTTTCTTCAAAAGTTTGATACTGAATATCAATATTAGATTGTTGGTATGCAATGAAAGGTCTTGCCACAAAGAATACATGCATGTATATGAAGTATAAAAGTCTTGGTATCAACCTTTTAAAAGATATGACCAAGTAAAAGTTTGGAATTTCTGTGTGGGTCAAACTCCAGGGTGAAGGTTAAAAGGTCAAATTTAGTGGTACCAGATAAAAGGTCTTGTCACATGAAATACACAGGTGAAATATGAAAGTCAAAGCTCCACTAAATCAAAAGTTATAGACAACGTCAAAGTTTTTGCGAACAGACAGACAGACACGACAAAAACTATATATCCCCTGAAACTTCGTTTACGGGGGGCATAAAAATAGAATACGAAAATGGTTGTTATGGATAATTTGGATAAATTTGTTGATTCAGCATTTGTTATCGCCTTGTCATGTACATGTGCCTGAGACAACATGTCACTTTAAGTCCAAACGAAACCAACATTACCAGTTATAAAGGCTTGTCTCATCTTTGG